TGCGTGATTTGGATGCAGGTTGCATGCAATCCCTTGCTGAAAGGGAGTCGTCAGCTCTGTAGAAACCTACCTCGAAGGCTGTTTACAAGATCCCACCGTCCTGAGCCCTCGCCACACCACAGTAACGTCTTGCCCTGCTGCCTAGTCTGCTGGCTGCCAGAATGATCCTTTAAAACCAAATCACATTGTGCCACTACTCTGATGTGCCACTTCCTGATCTCGCATGGGTCAGGAAGTCCTGAGGATTGTCTTTGAGGGCTCTCCTTGCTGCTGCTCCAATGCAATGGACATGCTCTGGCCTCAGGACCCTTGCACCTGCTGTTCTCTCGCCTGAAACACCCTCCCCCCAAACGACTGCTTGGCTCAGACCCTCACCACCTTTGGGTGCTTCCCCTAGGGTCACCTTCCTAGCAATGCCTTTCGTGACCACCCAAATCGCAAAGCCCTCTCCAGCGCTCCTCGTGTCTCTAGTCCCCCCACCCCCACCCACTGGTGCTTGTTAGCCATGGGACAAGCACAGACTTTGTGTGTTGATTACATCTGCTCCATTCTTACCAGACTATCAGCAGGCCGTGGTGGTGTTCTGCTCCCTGGTGCTGCTCCAGCACCTGACACAGTGCCTGACGCATAGTCGGCACTCAGTAAGTATTTGTGGAATGAATGAACGAGACTTGGCTTTCTTCTCTTTCTCTCCATCTACAAGATCCTGTTCCCTCTCGGGCCACAGACAAACGAGTTCCTGAACTGCTTCTATTCCCAGCTTCCTTATCGGCACCATCAACGGGTTGGACCAGGTTATCTACAGAATCCTTCCAGCTCTGCACAAACTCCCAGCTGACCAAGGAGAAAAAGCACAACTCTTCACTGCCACAGGCCCGTGACGGCACTTACTTGATTATGATAAAGGCTGCATTTCCTTTAGAATTTTCCACAGCGAAGGCCCCGCAGCCCCACGCCCGTCAGCGCGAGCGAGGCTTGGCTGCGGTCATGTCTGTGATTTGCGACCTGCACGCCAGGGCCGCGTTAACCTTGAGTGCCGGGATCACTGGTCTTGTTAAATCGACCCAGGTTGGGTTACAGGGAAGTAAACCAAACCACATTCGGGTGTTTCTTAGGTTCAGCAACACCAGCTCTCCTCGTCCCCCTCAATTGAACACTAATTCCTCAGCAGCCCGTGCTGTTGGTTTTGGGGTTTAGCCAGAGGCCCTCTGGAGAAATAACGAAACTGTGCGTTCCAGGCCAAGAGGAAGGCGCTGGGATGAAAGCAGACCCTGGTGTAATAAGAGTGCTGGCGGTGCAACCGCTGGGAGCAGCGGCCTGTGTGCGAGGGCTGGAGGTCCTTCAAGGTCATTCCCACCCGAGCCCGTCCAGGCTAATTCTGACCTTGGAGAGTGTTAGGAGTTTTCCTTCTCCACCTGAAACCGAGACGGAGGGAGCTCTGCGAATCCACAATGTGTCTGACTGTCAGAAACCCCCTGGCCAGGGTCAGGTTCACTGGTCAGCCAAGGCCACCCACCACAACGGTGCTCCTGGCGTGGGACACATCAGCCACCTCTCGAGCTGAACATCAAGCCATCACACTACGGTGTACGTGAGGGCACTTGAAAAGTTCCAGGACAAATGGAATTACAAGGTAAGTCTTAAGAGTTTGAGTTCTAGCTCCGGCTCCCAGCTCTGGCTTGCTGCTAATGCAGACCCTGGAAGGCTGTGGTGACGGCTCAAGGAATCGGGTTCCTGTCTCCCACATGGGGTGGGCTGAGTTCCCAGCTTTGGTCCGGGTCTGGCCTGGGGCCATTCAGGGAAAGAAAGATTTTAAAGTTTATTTTGGTGCAAAAAATTGAAATCCAAGCAGGCAAGTTTCAAAAACTTAATGAAAAAATGCTTATTATGAAAAAGCTCTGCACAGATTTCCAAATTCTTTTACACCAGACTAAACCTAACTTTTAAGTCCATTTCCACCACGTTTTGGAGTGCCTTCGTGGTGTGTGTGGATTTTCCGAGGATGCTATTAGCTTTCATCCCAGAACCCACAGACACCCACCCATGAGCTCCTCGGAGCTCCTACCTGCTTCGTGACAGGCCCCAGCCCACACAGCCCGGGGACACCTCACAGGCTCCTGTAAGTCAGTGAAGGCTTGGGTGGGCCTCGGGCTCCACTCTTCCTTCCACTCAGGCAGCCCCAGGCCCACAAACCTCTGTGTATCTCAGCTTCTTCATCTGTAAAGTGGGAATAATGAGTGCCTTTGCCATTGTGAGTCCATGGAACTAATTAATTAATAGCTGTAAATAATAAATTAATAGCTGTATTAATAAATTAATAGCTGTAAATCACTCACTCAGTAGTCAGTGTTACTTGAAATCTTGTCTTTACACCACACGTCTCACACGGCTCCAAGGTGTGGGCTGGCCCTTGCAGGCATGTGATCTGATGTGTGGGCGTGTGGGTGTCTGATCTGATGCCACGGTGACAACAGGGGGCCCCGCCACTGAGCATATGTGACACAGCGAAAGGCTAGTCAAGGGGACCAGATATAAGTTCATGGGAAATGGGATTAAACAGTATGGTTACCTTGCTGCAAAGAATTTCAAAAAGCATGCAGTTTTTTTCATGATCCACATTTTCCATGAACCTTCTAAAGACTGACTGTAAATGCACACATGCCATTCTCTTCCTCCCCTGACCGGGCAGGCATCTCTAATCAATCTCAGCACTCTTCTCTCACCAACTGCAGCCTGGGGCTGATAATGCACAACTCAGAGCTATGGGAACTAACACTGCGGCGCTCTGGCTATGATCACCAGGGACACTGGTGTGGGAGAGAGGCCTGCATCAGAGCAGGCAGGACCACAACCCCCTGAGAAGGATGAGGGGTGGGTGAGGTTTGTCTCCGTTCAGTGCTGGGTCTACCACCACAGGTGCTCAACACACGCGGCAGGGACCCAGCAGAGGCTGGCTGGACCCTAGCTTGAGCACAGTGGGGCTGAGCAGAGGAAGCCGGGCTCTGGCAGGTTCAAGGTCACTCACGCAACACAAGACTGTGAGCAGGCCTTTCCTCCCACAGCCCCCAGTCACCCGCTGGGTATAACGAGAGGGTGGGCTAGACAAACACCAGGCCCCTCCGGTTCCCACTTTCTGATCCAAGAAGCCTTTCCAGGCATCACCAGTCTGGGTTCTGACCCTCCAGTGTGGCCACACCTTCCCCCTTCTCATGTGGAACTACCACCCTGTAAATGGTGATCAGGGGCTCACGTGGGCTCGGGTCCCCAGCAATGCACCCCCCATGACAGGTGCAGTCCCTGCCCCATGGAGCTGGCACTGGAGGAGGGACAGAAAAAGGGTACACAAATGAATGGGACAACTGCGGGTGTAGACAGGCTACAGAGGCCACAGGCCAGGGCACTGGGGACTTTGGACAGGGAGATCGGGGAGTGCTGCTCTGAGTAGAAGGCTGAATGGAGACGAGAGAGATGGAGGAGGACTCGGCTCGTGGCAAGAGCATTTGCCACAGGGCCGGCACCGTGGCTCACTTGGTTAATCTTCCTCCTGTGGCACCAGCATCCCATGTGGGCACCAGATTCTAGTCCCGGTTGCTCCTCTTCCAGTCCAGCTCTCTGCTGTGGCCTGGGAAGGCATTGGAGGATGGCCCAAGTGCTTGGGCCCTACACCTGCATGGGAGACCAGGAGGAAGCACCTGGCTCCTGGCTTCGGATCGGTAGCAGCCATTTGTGGGGTGAACCAATGGAAAAGGAAGACCTTTCTCTCTGTCTCTCTCTCTCACTAACTCTGTCAAATAAATTAAAAAAAAAAAAAAAGAGCATTTGCCAGGCTATGCTGAGCCGAGGGCAGGGCTGGGACCTCCAGCCTGGTCTCCCGGCCCTTTTACCCACTTCCAATCCACCCCACTAGCAGGTGCCAGGCGATGTTCCTGAACCGCTGCTCCGCTCACAAACTGCAGCAGCTCTCCAGGGTTTCGCAGGCACACGTGCTCAGTGGACTCACTTCCACACAAGGGTCCCCTGGCCAAGTGAGTGCAAGAAACAGAGCATTCCCCCCGCCCCCGGCCCTGACCCCGAGGGGCTCCCTAGCTTGCACACTAATACGTGAAAGGCTCTGAAAAGTGCCACAGCAAAGACACCTCTTCGACTTGGCTTAACTTGCTGTCTTCTCAATTTATTTGGCTACGCAAAGAACACCTTTTTCCCACCAAAAAAAAAAAAAATCAACATTTTTAAGGACCAGAGTTCCACAGGCAAAAGGGCAGGTCCTTCTGCTTGGCTTCACACTCCGACCCTCACCTCCAGGAGGTGACCCTAAAGCCTGGTCCAGAGTCTGTCTGTCTCCTGCCTTCCTCCTGCATCCAGTGCCCCAAACAAATGTCCTGTGGCCACCCCAGCCCTGCTCTATCCAACAGAACCGTGGCAGCATGGGTGCCAATGTTCACCAAGCACCTACCTGTGCCACCTGGGGTGACCCTCATGCCCCCACAGCCTGGGCCTGCCTGAGAGTGCTCTTCCTTCTTTGTAGAAATAGCTCAGCTCGCCTTCCGGGACCTCCCCTCCCCACATCGCCTGCTGGTTTCAAAGGCGAGGACAAACTCAGGGTCTGGCTCATCAGGGTGCTCCATCCTCCTTGCCTGGGGAGTGACTGGTTCACAGGGATGAACACTCAACTAAAGTGCATGGGCCAACCAATTCCACAGTGGGATGGAGCTGGCTGGGGTCCAGAGCCCAACAGCTGGGCTGGGCCGCAAGCCCAGGAGTTGCGCTTCACCTCTGAGTGCTCTCCGACATGAGTGGCCCATGGCCTGCTCAGGACCTGGTCCTCATCCTTGGATCGCTGTCACAGGCACTGCCTAAGGCCTCACATCCTCTGGGTGTGGTGACTCCTCAGCAAACAGCTGGCCTGCCCTGTCCCTCCTTTCCCCAGGGAGAAGGGGTTGGGGAGCAGGTGCAGGTGGGGGGCGGGGGAGGGGAAGGGAAGGGACAGGAGGGGACTGTACCTGCTCGCGGTACTTTTCCTTCCGGCCGCACTGGCTCCGTCAGCCTGCAAAGGAAACCCGAACACATCAGCCAAGGGGACGACACACACTTCTACCCACAGCCACCCCACCAAGCTCCCGCGGGCACCAGATTCGGAACGCTGCTGCCAGCCTCGGAAAACCTGCCCCCAGAGGGAAGGAGTCGTCGCGGTACCTCCCCTCACCCCCATTTCCTTGGCCCTTCCAATCCAGCTGAGCACCGGCTAGCCACACAAACCCAGCAACCGCACAGCCCTAGGGACCGGGCCGGGGGAAGGAAGTAACCAGTTAAGTCTGAGACTGAATTGTACCATTTTTATTTTCAGTTGGGATTTCCAATAAAACAGTAGCTGCAGATTTATTCCTACCAACCGGAGGGGGAAAATCCTATTATGTTAAAATATTCTGTCCCCCCCACCCTACGAACAGGCGAAGGCCCGAGAGTGCTGGCTCTTAATCTCTTTTATTTGGGGTGGGGGATGGGGTTTGATGAGGCTGGCCACATGAAATTTTCAGAAATGATAAAATCCTGGTCCAGATGCAGAGGCCGAAGCCCGGGGTGCAGCAGGAGTGGCCGCAAGTCTCCTGCGGACCAAATGCCCCACTGCTGGGGACCTGGCTCGTGGGCCAGGGCTCAAGGGGCCCTGGATGCCACAGCCAAAGGAGACTGCAGATTGGAAAACGCCCAGGGCCTGCTCCTGCGCCAGTGTGCACTCCCCGGAGGCACAGTCAGAACACGGCAGGTCTGAAACCGCAGGCACGTGTTTCCTGTCCAAATTCAGAATTTTTCCAGCCCTGCAGAGAACACTACGCATGTCCTACATGCTCAAACAACTCCAGAAGGGCCTGAGGAGCCCCCAATAATCAAGCACCCCGATATTTCTGTGGCGATACATAGGCACAGGCAACCCTGGCAGGACATCTCCCCAGGCTCACGTTCCACGGCTTCACCGGGCACCAAAATCTTGTTGTTTTCAAGCCTTTTGAATTTGAGGATTATGGATAAAGGACAGAGGACCCAAAATAAAAACAGCACTCCCTTTGGATGGGTGCTTGTAAGAAGTTGCAAACTAGGGCCAGGGTTGAGGGTAGCAGGTTAAGCCATCGCCTGCGACACCAGCATCCCATAAAGGCGCCAGTTCAAGTACCGACTGCTCCACTTTCGACCCTGCTCCTTGCTAATGGCCTGAGAAAAACAGTGGGAGATGGCTCAAGTGCTTGGGCCCCTGCACCCACATGCGAGACCTTGAAGCTCCTGGCTCCTGGCTTCAGCCTGGCCCAGCCCTATTGCAGCCATCTTGGGAGTGAACCAATGGATGGAAGATCTCCATCTCTCCCTTTCTTTCTGTTAACTGTTTCACACAAATAAATATATCTTAAAAAAAAAAAAAAAGTTGCAACCTGACAAAACCAGATAGTAGACTTTGATTCCAGCCAAGTGGCAATATGTAAAACTAAAAGTATTTCACTCAAAAAAAAAAAAAGTCAGATCTCCAACTCTTTAAGAGAATGGGATAATCCAGTGACACCCAGTGCTACACAGTGACAGCAGCTAGAACTGACAGCCCTGGTTCTCCCATTCCACCCTCTTGGCCTATACCTAGTCCCGCCTGGCCCGCTGTGGGCAACGCCATGCACTCTGCTGGGTACCGGCTACTTCCCACAAGGCACTGCTGGGTGGACATTTCACCTTCACAACAGAATACCACACACACATGCACACAGACACACACATGCACGCAGACACACTGGTGCGCGCGCGCACACACACACACACACACACATACCCCATTTCACAGGTAAAGATGCATGAGATCAAAGAACTTAAGTCATTTATCAAGAGAGTCGCGTTGCTACGAGCCCTGGTCGGGGTCACCCCCGAAGGCCCCTCCCTCTGCTCAGGGGTACTTTATCCCCTGCCCACATTCAGGAGAGCCTGCTGGGTGCCAGGGGTGGCACCAGAGAGCCCCCTTCCCACGTGGCAGGGACAGAAAGGTGAGGGACAGGCAGGCAGGGAGGGAGAAACAGGACGCCCCTGTCCTCCCGCAATGGAAGAGACAGAAGGCAGGGGGCGGTCTGGGTGTGACCGCACTGGGAGCAGAGGAATGGGATCAGCCGCAGCCTCTCTCTTGCACCCTCAGCACCTGACTGCAGGGCTAAGGGCAGGAGCTGCTGAGGTTCTTTCAGAGGCAGAAGGGGAAGCGGGTGGAAGTCCTGCCGGCGAGCCTTGCAAAATCACGAACTCCCAAAGGATCTTTCGCCTCCTGGACTGAACTCTGGGCGTGTATTCCAAGGGTTCCTACACATTTTTTAAAGTGATCTTTTTTGTCCTTTTCCTTCCCAGATTCACCAAGATGACCAGCTCAAGTGCAGTGCACACGCCACGGGAGGCCAGCAGAGTCTGTTTCAGGCACTCCTAATAACCGCCGCCTTGTTTCTTTTTACTGAGTTGACCATACTTCTGCCTCACTGGGAGAGTAACACTGATAGTTTTTCCACCATATTTAAGAAATAAAGAAAAAATATTCAGAGAGTTATCAAGACAAATCTTTCAGCAGAGAGGAGGTGGTGCTTGGTACTGGAGCCACTAGGGGAAGAGATAAAGGTGGTAGTCGTGTTGGGTACTGCAGCCACTGGAGGGAGAGATGAAGGTGGTAGTGACACTTGGTACTGCAGCCTTTGGAGGAAGGTGCACACCTGGGCAGGCTGTGGTTGGCACCTCTGTTTCAGTCCCACCATAATCGGAACATTACAGAGCAGCTCCCCCAGCTGTCGCCAAAGCTCACAGAGCTGAGCGCGCCCATCCTCGAGGTAGAGACCCCCACAACACAGGCTGGCTTCATGTCCTCAGAAACATGAAGTGATCCTTCCTGAGTTCAGTTCAACTACGATGCGGCCATTTTCTTGGGCCAAACTCGTCTAATACTAGCAATGTCCAAGTGACTCAACCTCATCCACAAACTTACCTTTACCCAGTGTGATCTGATGGGTTCTCAATGGGAGCTGAAGTTTTAGGGCACAGGCTGAGTCCAACGGTCTGAGTTCAGTCCTGGTTTTGTCATTTTCTAACTGTGTGATCATCAGGAAGTCACTTGTAGCTTCCAGCCCTCAGTTTTCTCATCTGCAAAATGGCCAGACCCTCATCCCAGAACCTAGCTCACAAGGCTTCGAGGGACTTAGTTAAGGTAACTTAAATGAGTGTGGGCTGGGATGCAGCGATTCTGACGACTCCAGACACAGCTGTCAAAACCGCCATTTACTGCAGCAGAGAAACTGAGGCACAGAAAAACAGAGTGGCGGGTACAAGAGTCCATGGCAGCTGAACGAGTCGCGCAGGGGCAGCGGGACCGGATGATGGGTCTTCCCTGAGTGCTCAGGATCCTAGGCTGCAAGGGGGCACCCAGCGGGTCCCCCAGACCACCCGCAGTGGTTCCGTCAGACCAACACTGAACACCAGGACGCAGGGGAAGCACGAGGCACAGGCCAGGGGCAGGCGGCCTCCACGGCTGCTGCAGCGCCAGCATCTTCATCCCCGCACGATGAGTTCCTAGAGAACGGAGCTTCTCGCCCTGCTCTGTCTCAGTCTCACTTTGAACCTCAGCTAAAAGGCGAGGGCAGAGGGTTAAATCAGGTCACGCCCCCAGCCCCTGCTCCAGTCACCTGTGTCATTCTACGTTTGGCCGAACCAACCTTAACCAAACCCTGCTGTGGCAAGTGAAATGTGGTTGGGGGGAGGGCCCACGGGGGGCCCTCCTTCTGCCTCTGACGTGGCTGGGGTTCAGGCACCCAAGGCCTCCAGCACCCATACCGGCACCCAGCCCACCCATTGCTTACTCACCAGCTTCTCTCTGGGACCTGGGCAAGGCTATTTTTGGCTCCATTCAGCCCTCCTCTTCCCTCCCAAATGAATGTTAAGTTGTTCTTTTCCATTCTCTTATTAAGGGTTTTCTTGGAAAGAAAATATTATTCCAAACCCAGAAATTTTATTTCTAAATTTGTGCAAATGTAAGTTGTAAGACATTAGCTGCATTTCACATTTTGTGCAAATGGCAGAAACAGGCAATTCGTGTGCTACGGGATGGGGGCTGGCCAACGATTTCGATAAAATAAACCCTTTTTTAATTTAAATGCTAATGCACTGAATTAAAATTTAATAACTGAGGAAATTGAAAAGCCGAGCAGGAATATTGGAAATAAATCCAAGCAGAAACAGCTGAAATTAAAAATTCTAGAGAGTGGGAGGATAGCAGCTAAGCTGTCTTATATGATTACATTTTTTTTTTTTTCAGAATGAAGCAAAAAAAAAAAAAATCCTATCTCTCGCTGGCTCTCGGGCAGTAAATCCACAGTGCTGTGATTTATTGCTCAATTTTCCTGAGGGAAAAAGGCTTTCTTTCATGCTGAAATATTTCATAAATTTCAAGCCAGCATAAATTCTTAATTTAAAAGTTATGGAGGTCACATTTAGTGCACTGGTACGGTTCCAAAATCTTAAAGGAATAGCAGTGACCAAAATAAAAAAAAAATTTGAAAAAGCAAAAAAGGAGGGGCAGAATTTTTTTTTTCTATTTTTTTTCTTTTGGTTTTAATTCACAAGTTGAAATTTCATGATTAAAGGTTCCTCCTAGATGGCTGGAACCCACGTGTGTGGGGAACTGGTATATGTTTGGAAATCTGCAGCTCAAGATGGAGAGATAAAGATTTAATTCAATTATAAAAAGGCTTTTTTTTTTTTTTAAAGCCACTTGAGGAATTTCTGGTAAAAATTTCCCCCCTCCCCTGCCCGGGAAGGGGTGAGGGTGGGGGGAGGGTGGCCACTGTAATTGCTTCTCTTAGATCTCCAATCTTTTGTGCACACTGATGTATTCATTTGTTATACAGCTGTTCGGCGGCGGAAAGAATGCTAGGGCGCCCATAATTCTAAGCAAATCAATCAAAAATTAATGATTTGTCATGCTTGCACAATGGAGGAAAAACAGCTCCGTGGGTCCTGGCTGCCTGGTCTCGAAGAATGAAATGCCTTTCTATGATAAGGCAGCCCGGGAGGCTGGGGTGCCACTGCTGCAGCGCCCCCCAGCCCTGTGCGGACACAGCGTCCACGGCCAAGATGGCGCCTCGGCCGGTCACGCACCGGTTGGACCTCGCCGCCCATTTTCCTAGAGGTATCATCATTAGGATCTTGCCTTTTCCCTCCCCCACCACAATGAAAATCACTTCCTCTCTGGAGAATTCAATGACGTCTCCTCCCCCACGTGATTTAATTTGTCCCTGTTCATTGTTCTCCCAACACTGGAAGGCACGGCCATTGGTGCCTTCCACCAACTCCTCTAGGGGTCTGGGGCCACCGGGGTACCTGCCATCCCCCAGGAGGGGCGCGGCTGCTCCTGGGCCTCCTCTGCCTCTCTGGCGCGGCCGTGTCTCCAGCACCCAGCTCAGGCCTGGCACAGGGCAAACAGGCAGCAAACAGGGCGGGGGAATCTGGTCATTCTGAGGACTTCCCAGGAAACCCTGACAATGACGTTGTTTCATGAATGATGACCCACACTGGCGATTCCACCTGGAGGAAATCTCTCAATGGATCTTAAGAATCAATCACTCAGTTACTCAGCGGGTCTTTCTTGCAAACCTACTATGTGTCAAAGACAATTCCGAATCCCCAGGGGTCAGCACTTCTCAGGCATCTCTGCACCCCGGGGGGCCAGGAAGCATGAAGGGGAACCCAGAGAGAAGTGAGAAGTTTTTTAGATGCCTCTGAATTCTTGTAGCTCACCAAGTTGTGATCAATTCACATGAAGGTTGTATTCACCAATACGTGGGTATTTCATATGTAAGTACGTTAGCTCTAATAAATTCCAAAGACTCTTGGGCCACAGCACCACGAGGAATGGAAGTGCATCTCTGGCCCATGAGAACATGACGCCCAAGCACTGGACGGGCTCTTGTTTTCCCAACAACCCTGCAATTTAACCATGCCCCTCTGACCGTAAATTAACCAAGCACCAGAGGGGCCAACTGACTTGCCCAAGGTCCCACAGTGGTTCCAGGGGCTTGGCCGGGACACAACACGCCTTCTCAGCCCAAGTCCATGGCCATTCCTCTACACACTTGGCCCTTCCACCCCTACAGTCAGTGCACCTAACCTGGTCCCAAACAACGTGGATGGACTGGGCTCCTATTTAACCCTCAGGACTCAACGCAGGCACAGGGAGTCCCGCCCTCATTCACCAGGTGTTCCTGGAAAACACCTGTTAGGAGGAACTGTGCCAATACTGAACAATAGCTTTGCAAGTGACAGAGAAGATCCCACTCCTTGGAAACGAAACATCCTCTAAATGCTCTCAGCGATGGGTTCTTAACACGTGGGGCTTGAGTTCTAATCTTGCATTTCCTTTCTAGACTGAACATGTTTCTGCTCAAAGCCACTGGCGACCCCAGCTTCCACGCCTGAGAGGTAGGTGGAGGCTGCCGGGGGAAGATCCAGGGGGAACAGACCTGGAGCCCGCACGGGTGGGCGCCACTTTTCTGTAGCTATTTCTAGAGTTCACCCTAGAAGTGGTTCTGAACCAGGCGCTGGGGGAGCAGGGCAGGTCCTGAGATGAACCAGACGTGGGGCCTCACTCAATCGCCAATGCTGGATGCCTTGCTCTGGCTGGACTGGTTCCCTCAAGGGTTATGTGTTGGAGGCTTGAGGAAAGGTGGGGCCTACTGGCCAGGCATGAAGCACTGCAGGACACTGCCCTTGGGAGGGAGGGAGGCAGCTCTCCCAGCACCCTGCACCCTCCCTGGAATGAGCGGTTCTAAGAGGCAGCCCTGACTCGCTCGCCGGCTTCCTGTTTCCACACACGGCCTCTTCCTCCCACGCGTGGCCCTCACCAGAGACCACACCAGTGGCCTCATCCAATCTTGCACTTTAAACTCCCAAACTGTGAACTCTTTTCTTCATAAAATTAGCCTGTCTCAGATATCTGGTTACAGTAACAACAATGAATTTATTATATAAGTGGCCACTATGTGCTGAGCACCAGGACAGTCACTGGGGACACAGGCAGAGAGAACAGCGGGGGAGCCACACTGATGACGTCATGGCTTAGGATATCCACCTGTAACGGTCACGCGGCATGCACATTCCACAGAGGAATGGCTGGCTTCCATGAGCGACTCTGAGACAGCAGGGCCAGGAAGGGCTTCGAGAGGGAGGGATGCTTGAGCAGCGAGCACGGAGCTCAGACTCAGCGGGGCCAACAGAAAACCCAGATGTGAATGGAGCTCACACAGGCCGGGCGCCGGGCAGCAGCACCCACCGCGTGCCAGGCAGAGAAGGCACCATCGCAGCCAGCTGGGAAGCCTGCATACTGAGCCACTGGAGGCCATAGCTTTCTCTGATGGCCGTCGCCTCTGCAGAAGCAAAGGCTCCCATGGGGGACTCCTGACCAGACCCCCAGGCCAGACCCCAGGCCTCCACGCGGACTTGGCAGCTTCCAGTTCTGAGGACGAAGGAACAATGATCCGATCTGTCCCCCTTTCATCTGCTGTGGAGTGGCCACAGCGCTCCAGAGAACAGCAATGTGAACCCTCCCCAGGCCAGGTCTGCTACTGATGAGCCAGGGGCATCGGCAACTCCAAGGCTAACCCACGAGAAACGTCCAGCGTCTTCATTTCTCCTGGATACGATGCCCTTTTGCCTCTCCCCAGGCCCTTGCTCTCCAAGGTCAAGCATCAAGAAGGCAATCAGGGGCTGGCGCTGTAGCGCTGTAGGTTAATCCTCCACCTGCGGTGCCGGCATCCCATGTGGGCTCCGGTTCTAGTCCCAGCTGCTCTTCTTCGGATCCAGCTCTCTGCTATGGCTTGGGAAAGCAGAAGAAGATGGCCCAAGCCCTTGGGCCCCTGCACCCACGTGGGAGACCTGGAAGAAGCTCCTGGGTCCTGGCTTCGGATCGCCCCAGCTCCAGCAGTAGCAGCCACTTGGGAGTGAACCAGAGGATGGAAGACCTTTCTCTCTCTCCACCTCTCTCTGTAACTCTACCTCTCAAATAAATAAATAAAATCTTAAAAAAAAAAAAAAAGCAAGCAAGCAATCAACAAAGAACTGTGTGTTTCCCCTGAGTTTCCAGGTACAGGCTGGGTCTCCTCTCCCTGGTAGGCAGCCTTGCAGGCTGGATCCAGACCTCCATCATCATCACCGTCTTCACCATCACCATCAACAGGATGCACCTACAGACCAGCCCGAGAAGCCTGAGGCCCACGGGCAGCTGAGGAAGGCACGTGCACTGCCAAAGCACCTGCCGGCTGCAGTGGAGACCGGAGGCCCAGCACAGAGGCCACGGTCATCTTCCAGGGAAGAGATGAAAGCCGCCTGGGGAAGGCGGAGGAGAGAGCCCCAGGACTGCGAGCTGCAGGGAGCAGCAGGGATCAACTGGGAAACTATGAGGAGGGCAGCCAGGGCACAGCTGGCACATAGTAAGTGCTCAGTGAACGCCAGGGTCAGGGGGGCGGCGGTGCTGGCTTTTTTGGTTTGTTTTTGTTTGTTTATAAAAAATAAATCACTAGGGGCTGATGTCGGGGTGTGGCAGGTAAAGCTGCCACCTGCAGTGCCAGCATGCCAAACGGGCGCCAGTTCTTGTCCCCGCTGCTCCACTTCCAATCCAGCTCCCTGATAATGCACCTGGGAAAGCAGTAGAAGATGGCCCAAGTGCTTGGGCCCCTGCACCCACATGGGAGACCCAGAAGAAGCTCTTGGCTCCTGGCTTTGGCCTGGGGGAGTGAACCAATGGATGGAAGATCTGTCTCTCCCTCTCTCAAATAAATCTTTAAAAAAAAAATAGAGTTAATAGGGAAGTTTTTTGTTTGT